CTGGGCTCCTCTAGACCTGGAGGTTCCTCTTTCTAGGGGCCACCTATCAGGGCTTATGACTGTGAATCCTTGTCATTTTATGTGACGAATCCTGGGAGTCCCCTGCCCCCGGGGTAGGAGCAGGGCTGGACCCCAAGCCTCTTCCTCGTCCATGGACGTCACTCTTTTCCAAGAGTGACCTGGCTTCTCCTGGGACCTCTGTGAATATTTATTCTATTTATGGTTCCCAAGAAGCTGTCTGGTGGAGGAAGCCCCTTCCAGGGCATTTCCTGCCTGTGCTGGAGTAGCTCCTCTGGTCTTGGCCCAGGGGGCTAGGATTTTGATATCTTTTCTAATAAAGGACTTTGTCTCATCGTTGCTTGTGCCTTTTGCATTCCAGGACATTTTATCCTCTCCCACCACCCCTGGTCCCAACAAGCCTGTAGGTTGACAGAATAGCAAGAACAAACCAAGTTCCAGCAACTTTTATTTTCGTGAGTGGGAGAAGGGGAATCAGCTGTTAGATTCTGTGCCCAGGACAGCAACTGCTGCCTGACGTCCACTCTCTATACAGTCATTGACCGCGACCCCCTCATAGGAAGCTCCAGCCAAAGTCAGGGGCAACCTTTGAGCAGTCAGGAAGCGCTTAGCCGACTCTGAAAGGAAAGGAAGGATGAGAGGAATGTTTTTTTTGTTTTTTTTTTTAATTTTCGAGACAGGGTTTCTCCGCAGCTTTTTGGTTCCAGTCCTGGAACTAGCTCTTGTAGACCAGGCTGGCCTCGAGGATGAGAGGAATGTTATAGCTGGGCTCTGACTTCCTCAGCCCAGCTGCTTTCCCAGCTTACCTAGTTTTTGCCAGTGTCCTAGTGTGTACTGAGGGATACAGTTCTAAGGAGAGACAAGATGTAAGGGCAAGTTTATTACTGATTTCCAAGGCCTCGTTTGGCTGACATACTGATAAACATATTAGTCCTTATTTTCAATGAGGAACTAATAAGAATCTCAATTCACCTTGTGTAGATGGACCAAGCAGTGACTTGGTGGCTCCTTCAGTCCTAACTGTGTAGCAACTGCTTCCTGTGCTTGCTGTCGGAGCAGCTCTGGAGACAATTCATGACCATTAGCTTCCAGCTTCTGTAACCAGTAGCCTCCCAGCATCACCTGTGAGGAAACACAGCATCGGCCATCCTGCCCTGGCCTTCACTAAGGCACAGAAGAGTCCTTGGAAACCCCACTATAAGCAAAGTTTCCTTCTCTCACAGTTACTCTGAGGCCTGGGGGGTTCCCATCCTGCTCAGGAAAAGCAACTGAGTCATATACGACTCCCAGGACAGTTGGGTCTTCTGATGATGGCACCAAATGTCCAAATCCCTGGGGGAAAATGTCTGTAGATCAGGAGGGAAGGGCTCTTGCTGAGCATGTGTCCTCCCTCCTCCTCCTCCTCATACCTGAACAGGCAGATGAGCTCCTTGGTACTGCAGATTCACCACAGCGACAGATACAGCAGTGATGGTACTCAGGACATGAGCTAGAGGTGCAGCCTCGGCAGGGAGCAGCTTGCTGAGCTCTGGGGATCAGGCAGAGGCATTCATAGTAGGCTAGCTTTGTCTTATAGGAATCCCTCATGGATGACCAGCTCAGGAACCCAGTGTGGCCCTGCTGGCATAGGAAGGCACACTATCGCCTCCTGGTGGTTAGGGAAGGGAGGGACTGTCCCATTACCTGCAGCTGGAATAGCACTGATAATGTGGTCAGCCTGCAGACTGTTGTCCCCTAGAGACACCTGAGTGATAACATTTGAGAGAGAACGGTGTTAGGAGGACTTTAGAGGTAAGTGAGATTTGCTGCCTCACTCTTAGCTTCCCAGGTACCCAAGAGACAAGAAAGTCTGGGTGTTGACCCAGGATGAAGACTGGGAATGACAGTATCATCTGAACAACAAAAATCCTCTGCATAATCCAGAAGGTGGACCAGAAAGAGGTCAGTGTGGATGCTCTGAAATGGTCAATGAAGGCGGGCTGTCCTCTCTCCCTGTCCCAGACACTCCAAAGAATTACTTCTATTCACATCTATAAGGGCTGTTTGAGGAAGGTTCACACATAAAGCATAGGAACCTGAGGTAGCCAATATCCAAAGAGCTTCTCTGAGGCAAGAAAACAGTAAGTCCAATGCTGTCAGCCCTGACCCGGTTAAACCACTCAAAGATAGTGACACAGGGTGTGTGTGTGTGTGTGTGTGTGCACACAAGTGCAGGAGTCTGTGGAGTCCAGCAGAGGTCGTCTGAGCCCCTGAGCAGGAATTCCAGGCAGTGGTGAGCCACCTGATGTGGGTTCTGGGACAGGAGCCCAGGTCTTCTGCAAAGGCAGTATGTACTCTTAATTGCTAAGTTATTTCTTCATCCCCACCCCCTTGCTCCATAGCAGAAGAAATTTGTGGACAAGAAGTTATCACTGACATTAAAAGGTGGCAGGTCTGTCCACGGAATACTGCAGGGTTTTGACGCCTTTATGAATCGTGTGACTGGGAGGTGTGTAGAGATGATAACTAGTGGGCCACAGAATATTAGGATGGAAGTCACATGAGCAAACGTGTTTTTAAGTCTTGGACCAAGTTTAAAGAAATGGATATTCAGCAGAGATGTCCACATCCCTCCCCAGAGGTCCTATTTGACTATGGTATAAAATCAGGTCATGCACATTTTCATATGATACTTTTTTGCTAAATGTATTTTTGCAATATTAAATATAACAACACCAGCAACAACAAATCTAATAACACTGATACAGGTTGACTATACTCCAGAGGGTTCTCCTACCTTCCAGCGCCCTTCTGGCTGGAGGCTGAGCCCACAGACTGGCTGGCCTCTGAAGATGGTGACTCCTTTACTGGTTAGGTGGTCGTGAAGGGCCTGGGGCAACATCTCCAGCCCTCCACGGAGTGACCACTGGCTCCACCGCTCAGCCCGGGCCTGACGAATTAATGAGGAGTCTGGCTGTGCACTCCGTCCTAAAAGGAGACAAATATGTATAATCAAAATAGTACCCCATGTACAAAGCACCTCACTTTTTCAGGCTTTATAATTCACCCCTTGAGCCAATGCCCCTCCCCTCACCTGCCCCCAGCAGCAGCCCCAGTAATATGGACCGATGGGTTTGCTCAGCTTGGAAGAGACTGGGAAAGCAGGACCGGACACTGAGCTCACGGCTGTTGCCTGCAAACACTCCTCGGCAAAGACTGTCGATGGCTAAAGATGCCACCTTAAGGGTAAGACTGGGTCTGAGGGGTCAAGGAATAAGCCACCCTGACTGATTTCCATTGCCCCTGCTTGGGAGGGAATGAGGAAGGGAGAGACTTTGTGTTGGGGGGTGTTCCCACTATAACCAAAGGGTGGGAAGGAAAGGAAAGCATTTATTCCCAACACCGAGTAATGGGAAGAGGACATCCCTAGATACAGCAGCTGGTTTAGGAGGGGAGAGGGTTGAGACCACCTCTGTCTGAGCAGTGTCACCTCAGGTCCAAGGCGGCGCTGGGCAAAACTGTGTACAGTCTCATCAGGCTCTTTGCCCCTGGGCTTCATCAAATCCCTCAACCCAGCCCAAAACAGAGGTTTGGAGAAGGGGGGTGAAGGGCGGAGTAGCCCCCTGCAAGGAGGAAGGCATGGTGAAAAGAAAGCTCCCCCAGTCACCTTCCCAGCTCCAGGGTATTATTTTCATTCATTTAACCCCTGTGGCTGGAAGGGCTGACAGGGAGCGGAGGGAAGAGGTAAGTGTACAGTTAGGAAGTGAGCATTACCTGAGACCAGAGGGTAGGGGGTGCAAGGCACCCCCTACATACAGGAACCTGTTCTGGGCAGCTGGGTGATTCCCCGGGACAGGCAAGACTTCTGACTCCAAGCCAAGCTCAGAAACCTGTTCTCCACAAGCCCTCAGGAAGAGGAGACACTAAGGAAAAACTGACCCAACAAATGTCTTTCCCCTCTGCCACTCTCTCCCTTTGGAAAGCTCCTCCCCTCCCCCAATCACCTGTCGGTCCTACACATTCCACAAGACGCTCACCAGGAGCAGGGTCCGGGCTCCCAGCACTCCAGCTGGCCTAATTCCTCGAGGTCCAAGTTCAAAGATAGCACCATCTGATCCTCGGACTGAGCGGATCCAACCTCCCAAACGCTTGCTGCCCTCCACTAAGATCACCTGGTGCCAAAAGTGAGACACTGTGGGTTCAGGGGAAAGGGACTAGGGATAGGGGAAACTTCACATTCCACGGAACAGAATCTATTCAGTTTTTATGGGAAATGTTAAGAGTTTTAAATTAGTCTTTCTTTGGTTCTAGTGGGAACTCACCTTAGGGGGACAGGGGCCTCGGATCAGATGATAACTTGCGACCAATCCACTGATACCCCCGCCAAGCACGATCACAGTCCGGCCCATTGTAAGGCCTAGGGAAAGGTCAAGATACCAGGCAGAACCGGAGGCACCCTGTTTTACAACTGCAGAAACTCCCACTGGTCCCGTACCCCATTTCTGGGCACTTACTGATTTGTGAGCATCTAAGGCAGGGCACGCGTGTACTTGCTGGTAGAAGAGTGAGGTCTTCGTTCAGAGGCCAGGACTTACCCACAAGATAGGGGGAACTAGGGAAAATGAGTGATATAGAGGCCCTAGGACCAGTGTCTCCTGTGGGTGTGCAGATAAGGCCCACGCCCGCGCTATCTTCCCAGCTCAAACCCTCCGGGGACCAGAATTCTGCAGTACGCGGTTTCCCCAGCCTCAGCGGGTAAGCAGGTTCAAGTCTAGGATCCCCGCCCCTAACTTTTAGGGTCCTTCCGACTCTCCGTCTACTCCATTCAGTCCGCCCGCAGCTGCGCTTCGCTTTACTGCTTCGGGATTGGTGGGTCCTGGAAAGTAGGCTCTGGATTGGTGAGCGCTGGATACATCCACCAATGAAAACACCGGATTGGCAGTGACGTTGCCAACGGAGCTGCAGTTACGTCCAGAGTCCGCTACCAGGTTAACCGGTTCTTTGCCTACTCGAAGTTAGTTGCAGTAGCCGGCACCGCCTTCCCCAGGGCCAAGGCAGTGAAAAGCTGAATCTGGGAGTTAGCATTCCCCAGCTCAAGCTTCCTAGGCTTGTGGTGAGAACCCTGGAGGGAGGGCCCCATGAGCCCTGGTTGGAGAGAGACACTTGGAGGCCTGTCCGTGGGGAGGTGGTTCCATAAACAGCTCTTTGATGTTAGCAACAGTCAGGGCCTACGGGAGCAAAGGCCACCCGGCAACGAAACCAGTGTTTGTCAACAGGGGTTCTTGGGTGCTTTGCTCTCGAGGGGCAGTTCCCCTCGCCGGCAAAACCCGGCATGTCAATGCCTGCGCTCTAGTTTTAGGCCTCTCCGCCGCTTCAAGTCTCAAGGTTTTTCTTCCGAGTAATACTAAAACTCCGTTAGGGCACAAGTGTTACTCAATCTCTGTTCTTTTCCTTCTGTTCTGAGAGCGCCCCCTCCTGTTCAGAGACGGAATTGGGCTCCAATTGAACCAAATGCTGGATATCCATTCCCTCTTATCCGCAAATATAAAGGTGAACATCACTTTTTCTTAATAAATTTATTCACAAAAAGTGAGATTGCAGAGGTCTGGGGGCTGTACATGGTCAAGGGCCTGGTGAGCTCTGTACATGGGACAGGAAACAAGGTGAAAGGGTGCTTCTTAATAAAAAAAATAATGGGAGCTACAACCACCCCCCTCCCCGATTAAAAAGACACAAAAATAGACGTCTCTGAGGTAAATGGGGAGCCTGGGGGCTTAAGGGTGTTGAAAAGGTTTTCACAGGTGCCAGGGCTTCAAGATGGTGTCACAGGCACCGCGGCGGCTCCTGCATCAGTTGGTAGAACAGCACGTAGCCCTCACTGGACGCCACCTGATTTTCACTGACAGGGGAGACACTGCGAAGAAGGGAAATAGGGAGTAGTTGTAGTTATTCCTGTGTGTTCCCCCTCCTCCCTACAGGCCTCAGCTCAGAGTACCCCTGTGGCGCTCAGGAGAGACTCCACCCAGCCTTTGTCAGGAGCTCATCTTTTGGGGTCTCAGAGGAGGGGAGGGTGCCAGGGCTGCAGTGCGATGGGGCAGTTTAATAAGAGGCTGTGCTCACCGGGAGTCATTGTAGACATGCCAACCAGTCTGGCACCGGCACAGGGCCGTGTAGTGTCCGTAGTGGACACTACCCGAGTGGTTGCAAAGAGCGTACAACTGGTAGATAGGGCTTCCTGCGGGTTAGACAAGGTCAGTTTCTACAATCAAGAGTTGTGCCCCGCCCCTGAAGGTGCCGCAGGGCATTCCCCACCAGACTCACCCACTTTGTCACTGGCAAAGTCCCCTAGGCTCAGTCGCTGCAACGGGAAGTCTACACCTACTGAACTTTTCTTGATGGAGCCTCGGGAGGTGGAAAATCGATTCAGATCTAAGCCCTGGTTAAGGAGCATTTGGGAGGCTGAGGGTCTCTAAGGGAGCTGCAGTAAGAAATTCAGTACCCTCTATTCCCCCAACATGTCCTGAAAGATGGCAAAGAAAGTTGGGGTGGCAGGTTTTTCTCAAGAAAAACCCAATGAAGGTGAGGAAACAGAATGTATGGGAGATGCCCTAGAGGAATAAGAACGCCAAGATTAGGATATGGAGCACGAGGATGCGGGGGAATCTTTGTACTGTCAACTTTTTGGTACTTCGTGTTTTCTGCCGGCATCGGTCACACACCTAAGTAAACAGCAAATAGTGTTAGGTTGATGTGTTCTCACCTCAGCTCGTTTTTGACACCCCACTTCACATATAAATTTAGTATGTTTCTCATTGCTTTGCCCCTCCCCCCCCACCTAGGCATACTACAACATATCTGAGGCCCTAACTTTAACACACCCAGACATGTAACTGTTACTCCCAACTAAGGAAGTAGGCATCTCCTTTTATCCAGACAGACTCCCACGTGTCTCCCACCATTGTAAACCCCCACATACTGGGGCATTTTCCGACTCCAGCTCTTCTTCCTTGGTGAAAAGGCTGAAACAGTCCCGCAGAGACACTTTGCCCCCAGCAAATCCTTTCTGGGGGGAAGGAAGGAAGGGTCAGCATGTTCTGAATTTCTTTCTTTTTAAATCTTTTATGTTTTCATAATCCAGGCTTCAATTCTGCTTTAGAGGCCCACATGGTTCCCACCCACACGTAGAACCCATGTTTCATCCACCCCTGGAACCCTCCGGAATCCCACCTTGGGGATGGGCAGCGACAGATCACAAAAAACCTCGAAGGTCGTGGAGCGATACCCACAGGCCTGGCACTTGAGGCAACTTTTCAGCTGGCCTACAAATAGGTCTGGATAGAAGCAAAAAGCAGGAGAAAGTCACTGTTGGACGTCGAAGGTGCTCTCTCGGAATCCTGCCCTTGCTGGACCTGCCTTTCTGACTTCAGCACTGCCACCACCCGGCTCTACAACCACTTCCCATCATCACCCAGCCTTGCTCATTCCTCTCCCAAGCCCAAACCCCCAGTTTTGCCCATTCCATACCCACGATCTTGCTGTCTTCTCGCTCCAGGTAGCGCTTCCACATCAAGTTGGCTCGATCATCGTCACTACCACAGATCAAGGGAAGGGAGGGAGCACCCATGAGAGAGTTATAATACTGGGTACCCCCAACCCATTGAAATTATCCAGAGCCCTGTTCCCTATCTGCATTCCAGCTCCTTCCCTAAATTTCTAGTCAAAGGAGTAATTCTTTCAAGAACTTTCTGGGGAAGTCCAGGATGAGGAAAAGTCTATAAAGGAAAAGTGCCATCCCACCTCTGCAAGCCCATTGGTATATTTTATTGTAAAAGATCCCTCCTTTCCCAATTTAGTGACACCTCCAACTCTATTTTATGCCTCTACCTGCATCCTTCAGCTTCCCTCCTCCTCCTCCCTTCTGTCCTTTCCTGTACTGACAAAACATTTATGTTTCTATGCTAAAGGGTCTCCCCAAGGCCCCACATTTCCAGTTTTAGTTAGCTCAGTTCTGTGACGACTGATTGCTACTGGGGAGAGGAGCAAGGGGGAGCAACCTTTACCTTAATTCTGGTTCTTCATGCAGAGCCCCTCCTCGGCGAGGTGGAGAGGGAACTGGACCACTGGCCAGGATTGGTGGTGCCCGGCGGCCTCGTCGGTTGATTTCAAGATGCAACCGCTCCATGAGGAGCTTCAGAAACTCTTGGGCATCCTGCTGGCTACAGCCAGACAGAATATGAGCAAATGATCCCCTCTTAGTCCACAGACAGTATTCCCTGCCCAAATATGGGTCCTTATATCCTCAGTGCAGAAATTCTCAAGGCTCCGAACGATGGAGCTGTAGCCCCTGCTTGGCCCCAGCCCCAGTCAGAGAGAACTTCCATCCTCTCAGTTTCCCCACCTGTATCCAGAGAAGGAGGGAACGTATTTCTGGAAGACAGCCCGGAATCGAGTAGGATTCACAGCTTCACAGGAGTCAGGGTGCCAGAGGGCACCAATCACATCTGCAAAGGCTGTTGGTGTGACAGTGGGGAAGGTTACAAAGATTAGTGTCTAGAAGAGCATGCAAGAGGAGAGTCCGTGGAGAGAAAACCTCTAGAAAGGAGGAACCCAGAAAATGGATGTGTCAGATTGAAGGGCTGGGAACCATAGGTACTGGGGTATAGAACTGAAAGGATAGGGGGAAGTGAACAGAAGAATCAGAAGGACGTTGCCCACCTTCCGTGAGCTCCTGGGCTCGGCCTCCTCCAGGGACCTCTTGTCGGAAGTCCCTCCGAAGGCAAAAGTCTCGAAGAGGCCTTGTGCTACTCAAACACTGTAGCACGGCGTTCAGGAAACACTGGGGAAGCAGCGGGGACACTGCCATTACCTTTCCAGTCTGGGGTCCAACCAGCCTTAAGGAGAGGTCAGTGCTCTCCTGTGTGCCTTCCCCAAACTCGCAGGCTGGCTCCACCCCCAACACCATTTCACACTCCCTTTACAGAGGAAAGAACAGGAAAATGGCTCTTACTGTATTTCCCAGATTTCGGAGGCCAACATGACCAGAGCCCAGAAGCAGGGTGTGATGAGCCTAGAAGGTCAGAGCACAGTCATTTTCTAGACAGCACTTTCAACAGCATGTTGCTGAATGTCTGTCTCCCCCACCCTATTCGGGAGACCCTTTTGCCCTCCCTGGTCCTCCTACCTCATTGCTCATTAGTAGTAAACCCATCACAGCTGAGTGTACCACAGACTCAGCCATGGCTGTCACACCTATTCCCCATTTACTCCGCTGCCCAGCTAGCCGGCGCTGCAGCTCCTGAGGCAATTCCCCAAGCACTGGCATGGTTGCCCAGCTGCTCCCCACCCCCACTTTACTGCCCCCAAATCCCCCTCCTGCCCCCGTGGCCCCTTCTTGCACCCTGTCCTGCTGGCTCCAACTGCAAGCAGCTTAGCTCACTTAGCTCAGGAAATGGGCAACAGTAGCAGTAGATGCTCTAACCCCGCCCCTTCTCAGCCCAGGTGCTCTAACTCCGCCCCTCTTCAACCCAGGGATTAATTAGGTCTAGGCCCAGTCCTAGGAGAGAAATTGCCTTAAATGGGCAGGCCTAAGGACCTAAAGAAGAATTCTAAATAGTTAATTCCCTACGGACCAGAATGGCACATGGAGTTGAAGAATCACATACAACCCAAAATAATATCTAGAAGGCCTCAGAAAGGAGAAGAGTCCACTGGTGTAATAAGGGGTTGACAAGGGAACTTGGAGAAGGGAACAAGAAAGCCATATCACGACAAGAGAGTTGAAGGCAAAAGGAACATGGTCATGGGAGCCCACGTGTGCTGGCAAGTCCTCACCATCTTGTCATCAGAGTAGAAAGGCTCAGAGGGTCGGGCAGATATCATGTGGAAGGTGCCATGGGAAGTAGGGGGCTCTGTCCGTATGCTGAGCAGGGTAGGGGGGCCAGGGAAGCCCCCAAGACGCCGGAGAGAAGTGCTACGTCTCAAAGTGGGCGGCTCAGGCCGGAGTGCCAAGCGGCTCAGTGCAGCCCCTAGCTCGCCGGTGCCACGGTGCCCTCCCAAGGCAATCCCCATTGGACGCAAGTCCCCACTGCTCACAGACTTGGAACGGGCTAAATTGGTCCGGGATGGGAGAGGCAGAGCCACAGCTGGGGGCGGTGAGCCAGGCAAGGGAACCCCATGATCTGCTCGAAGGGGGCCTCTAGGACGAGAGCCTGAGGTCCGACCCCGACCCAGTTCCAGTTTCTTGAGCCTTTCATCTGGGGGACATGGTCTGGGTGGCAAAGGTCGTAACATGGGGTTTGACCCAGGAACTGGGTTTCGGCGCTCCTTGCTGCGGGCCCGGGGAGGAAATGGTATCTTGGCTCCCACTCGGGGCTGTACATTGACAGGTGGCTCTCGAGTCCTGCCCAGGCGGTGCTCAGAAGCCTGGGGCATTGTGGACACCACAGGCTGGACCTGAGAACAGAGGATCAACATTTGAATTAGTAAGGGAGATATGATACAGGCTACTATGCAAGCTGGCTTCTACATGTACCGAAGGCATGAATCACGTCTATAAAATCAATTCTTGCATCCCCAGAACTTAGCAATGTTTGACATAAAGGAAATCCTTAGTATCCCTTGAATAAACTAATGACTGAATAGTAGCCCATGATTTTGACCTTTCACGCCCCACCCCCTCTATAGAATACAGATTTATTGAAAAGCCAGTGGTAGTCCCAATTTCAGCTGTTTTTATAATCTACAAACTCCTAAAAATCCTCATATCTGGTAGTCAAGTGAGATATACCCCAGACCTGGGACCCTGGATGCAGGAATCAGTCCAAAAGACAGCATTCCAACCTCAACCCTTGCCCCTCTGGGTTGCAAATGAAGCCGATTAAATGGGTGATTTGCAATCCATTCCCTCTCCAGTTCTGGGCCCCCACTTGATAGCTGAGCCCAGGGGGCAATGGTTTGAGATGGAGGACGAACTACTTGACCCCTAATTTCTGCACCTCTCCCACCCCACCACAGCGGGGGGTTTTACCCGGGTCCGCCCCCCTCGAGGGCAGAAAGGCCGAGGCCGCTGATTGGCTACGGGGTCCGGCGGCATATTCCCCGCGGTCCGAGAATGCTGTTCCTCCAGCTCGGTTCTCCCAGGCCTCGCTGGGCACCGCGAGCCTCTCCCTTTGTGATGAACGTCCTCTGGGGTCTGGATCCGTCCTCCCTCAGCTCCCCCACTCCACCCCACCCCACCCCGCCATAAGGTCCCGGCCAATACCTGTCCCCCGGTGAGGCGGCGGGGGAGGCCAGCCGGGGTCCAGCTCCAGCTCAGGGCCACCCCCTCCGAACCCCGAACAGCCTCCCCGCGGGCCGGGCTGCAGCTTTAGCCGCAGCTGTTGCCCAGCTTGCTCCCGCCGCAAGGGCCACCGCCATCTTTGTTGGTGCCGCCCGGCCACCGGCCACCGGCTTCACAATCTCTTAAGGCGCCTGCGCGCCCACTCTCGGAATCCTCCCACCCACCTCCTCGGCGCTTGCGTGAGCCCGCCCCCACGGCTCCCCGACCGACACCATGGAAACGCAGCCAACTTTAGAACCATTAGTTCCCGGCCCTGCTGGTTGGTGGTCTTTAAACCATTGCTGCAAGTCCTTGAGGGCAGGGGCCCCCATCCCTTCATGTGGTCCAAAGGGATGAAGAGCCGAAACATCGAATAACGGAAGGACTTGCAAGGGCTTCTTTCCAAACAAAAGGGATGCAGCATGGAAAGCTGCATGCCAGGTCCAGCTCCAGCCAGAAAACCAATAGTGAAGCATTTAGCACTCCACCTAGGCATGAGAGATCCCTAGTGGGCATAGAACGTCAAACCTGTAAAACCCATTCTTCAAGCCGCTTTGCAGGCTCAGGCAGTAAGGAAAACATGGCTCATCGCTAAAGGGTAAACGCAAATCTCAACGACAGTGAAAAGAAACAGATTTTCTCTTCCATTTGTTATCCCTTGAAAGGACATTCATTTCCCCCTCCCAACCTAGTGTAGGTGTTCATGTCCCTCCGTGTTTTGCTTGTTCATCTTGTAATAGTCATCAGTGAGAACCACAGGCTACATACATCGGAAGCAGCTTTTATTGACAGGTTGTTTCCAGAAACCAAAAAAAGCCATGAGCTGTCAGTTAACGCCCTGTGCCTCCAAGATGCCTCCAGGGTTCCACTTGCAGAAGGGGTGCAAACTGCCTCTTTCAAGGTCCAAGTCTTTTACCTTCCTGTACAGCTTATCTTAGAAACTTTGTGACCTTACTCTATTGTTGGCTTTTGTTCCCCTCCCCCCTCCACCTATAGCTACTTTGTAACAGCCAGAGGTGACCCGTGAAAGAATCATGAGTTAGGAGAAAAATTCACAAGAAAACAGGAATATAGCCCATCAAGTTCCACTGTCCTGCCTCGGTGGCTTGATCCTTCATTGATTGCATTTTTCTTTGTGCTGGATTACACCCTTCTGAATCAGATCAGGGACTTCCACGGCCAGCCAAGGACCCAGCTACAATACAAGGGAGACCCTGTGAGGTTACTACCATAGTCAATGCCCCTTGTTGCACCTGACCCTCCTTCCCAGAGACTCTAGAGCATGCCCAAGTGGCAGCACCGTTACTCCCTTTGTCTCAGCTACGAACCCTCCCTCTTCCTCTCATAATCCAAGAAAAAAAACTTACCCCTAGGGCCATGAGATGAGCTAGTCCAAACTTGGGCACATTCCTGGCCCACAAAGGTTTGAAATGATCAGTCAGACATATTTTGCCACCCCTATGAGGAGGACGAGAAGAAGGTGTTGACATAAAAAACTAGCCATAATGTATAGCAGCCTTTTGGGAACACAGGAAGATTAGCGCTCAGAACTGTGAACAGGGTCAGCTAAGCACTTTGCATAGGCGTGGCACAGGGAAATCTAGACTCCCTCCAGACTCTGGAGTAGTACCCTCTGGGGAAACCCTCTGTCTCTTGAGCTCCTCCCTAAGGCTTTCCTTGCTCTTTCTCACCTCCTAGCCAAGGCCTACCTGTACATCTTTGCTGTCTTTCCATCCAGCTCAGGGACTGCAATTTCTGGAGCAGTAGTAGGATATGTGATAGGAATCTGGAGAAATTACAAAGCCTTAATAAAACAGAATCAAGAGAGAAATGAACTAGTCTAATTAAACATACACATTCCTTGTTTGAACTGCTTATTCAGCAGATCCCCCAAGCGACATGTACAGGCTAGGACTCGAGACATAGAGATTAGCAACTGTTACATATCTGCTTCAAACCTCAGCTTTCCCCTCCCGTTTTAAAAGTTTTATTTAGTCCCTTCAAAAAAGTTTAGCTTGCTAACAATCATCTGATCAATCCCTTTCTACTAACCTTCATACTTCCCATTCTATCACACTCACGTCAAACTCGATGTCAAACTCATATTTGAGGAGGTCATGGATGTACCAGCATTTTCCAAACCACCTGGAACAAAGACCAAACCTCACTCAGTCTAGTCAGCCCATTCCGATCATACTCAAATGACATCTGTTTAGGCCACCAAGCAGGAAGACTCATAGGTCAGGAATTAGGGAACTCTAAACTGATGCATGGCATGGCAGCTTTGGGTTGGTTATTGGATAACAAATTGCTTAAGCCAGGTAAGGATCCCACTCATACCTCCCAAGAGGGTCTGCTTACCGGGTCCCTTCCTTGTTGGACTCCAGTCGGAACCAATCATTGTCTGAATTCTTGTTGTTCTCCACATACTGAAAGCAGAAAATGAAATCTTAGAAGGAGCTAGAGCCAGTCAGTGATAGCACACACCTTTGATGCTAGCATAGGAGGCAGAGGCAGGAGGATCTCTGAGTTTAAGGCCAGCCTGGTCTACAAAGTAAGTTCCTGTCCAAAGAATTATTCAGAGAAAATCTGTACAAAAAAAGGGGGGGGGGGGAGTTTTCTGGAGAGATGGCTCAGAGGTTAAGGGAACTGGCTGCTTTTCCAGAGGTCCTGAGTTCGATTCCCAGTAACATGGTGACTCACAACCATCTATAATGGGATCTGATGCCCTCTTCTGGCATGCAGGCAGAACACAGTATATATAATACAATAAATAAAACTTAAAAAAAAAAAGTGTGGGGGGGAGCTAGAGTCAAGGGTTGCCCCTCTTCAAAAGTATGACTATTTTCTGTTTTAGTACATTTTTCACAACTTTTCAGACATAAACAAAATGAAAGAAAAGGATACACATGTAAGCTGGGTGCTTTCCCAGAATAGAGAATAGAATGTCCAGGTTTCCCACAGTATAGCAAGCACAAAATGTTTGGAGACTCATCGGGTTATTTTCTCACTTCTGATAGTACCTGTCCTCAGCCCCAAACTCACTTTACCATCTACGTTGTTCCTGGAGGACCCTGTGCTAGCTTTCATTAGCAGCCACAAGTTAATGACTCAAACCAGAACTTCAGGTTCTAGTATTCAACTCCGTGTTTCAGTTTATTCCATTTATTTATTTATTTATTTATTTATTTATTTATTTAATTTTTTAAGACAGGGTTTCTCTGTGTTGCCCTGGCGGTCCTGGAATTGTTTTGTAGCCCAGGCTGGCCTTGAACTCACAGAGATCCACCCCCCTACCCACCTCTGCTTCCCCAGTGCTGGTTTTAAAGGTATTTACAACCACCGTCTGGCTTCAATTTATACCTTTATCTAACAGAAAACAGAAACTCAGCACTTCCATCTGGATTTTATATTGTATCCCTCACCTCTTCCACTTCAGGGACTCCTGCCCAACCAACATTTTATAATTAAGAATGACCTTGACATTTTGATCCTCCTGCCCCTCCTGAGTGCTGAAATAACAGGCGTGAACCACCATGCAAGTTCTCAATTTCAGGAGGCAGTCTCATTCAGTCACTAAACCAAAAGACCAGCCTTCATCCTTGACCTTCCCTTTCCTTTCCCCACTAATATTTCATGATGTCCTGCTGACTTTAGTTTCTGCTATTTGCCTGTTACAAGGTCTCTCTGTAGCCAGGGCTGGCAATAAAGTCAGTGAAATCCTTCTGCCTCTGCTTCCCCCATACTAGGTTTATAGGTATGTACAACGATATCCAGCCTTAGCCCAATATTTACTTTTTCTTTTCTTGATAGGGCCTCACTAAATTCCTCAGGCTGGCCTTGAACTCATTCTGTAACCCAGGAAGGCTTTGAAACTGTCCAGGCTGGCCTCAGACCTGAAATTTTTCTGCCTCAGCATCACAATTGCTGCAATTACAGGATCCCAGCTTATAGCATGCTGTTGCTAGCTTGCATTCCTTTGCCCACGCTGTCCTTATATTGTTCTTTTTTTCTTCGCAAAACAAAAAATAAAAACAAAACTCTTAAAAATATCTATGTGTGTGAGTGATTTTTTTTTCTGCCTGTATATACCACACGTGCACATGGTACCTGAGGAGGAGACTCGAAGAGGGCATCAGAACCCCTGAAACTGGATAACTGTGAGCCACCACTTAAGTGCAGGGAACCAAACCAGGTCCTCTGCAAGGGCAGTAAGTGAGCTACCTCTCTAGCCTCTGTCCTTTTTTTTCCTATCTTTAGGTTTTAGATGCGTGTCTGTGTGTATCCATGTCAAGACTGTGCATGTGGCAGCCAGAGGACACTCAAAGGGTCCTGTTCTCTTCATGTGGGTTCCAGGGGCCAAACTCAGGTTGTCAGGTTGAGTAGCCCATCTCTACAAACTGAGCCATCTCTCTCTCTCTCGCCCCTGTGTTTATAGCTTAAGTTTCAATTCAAGCTTTACCACTTCTTAAAAAAGATTTATTTATTATGTACACAGTGTTCTATCTGCATGCATGCCTGCACACCAGAAGAAGGCATCAGATCTCATTATAGATGGCTGTGAGCCACCATGTGGTTACCAGGAATTGAACTCAGGACCTCTGGAAGAGGAGCCAGTGCTCTGAACCTCTGAGCCGTCTCTCCAGCCCCCAAGTTTTATCACTTCTGAGTATCCTTACCTTAGCAAACTAAAGTTGAATTACACATCCCTCCCCATACTCTCAAAATATACTAGTTATGTCTGTCTTTCCACTTAAATACTATTCCTGTCGACCTTAGTAGGACCCTTCTTAGTGGCTTTGTATACCTTCCAGGGTACTAGGAACACAATAATGTTTTATTGTTGTGTTTGAGGAAGGGTCTCGTGTAGTCCAGAATGACCTGGACTTCCAATCCTCTTGCCTCCACATCCTGGGTGCTGAGAATGCACGAGTCACTCCAGTCTATGAGGTGCTAGGGGTAGTAGAACCCTGCTAAGCAAGCACTCGGCCAGTTTCTCAGTGAAGCAATATATAAGAAAGAAGAGCTGACAGAAACCACCATAAGGGGTGTAATCTTTCTCTTGACACAACAGATTAGCTGAAAAGATGGCTATTTTATAAGTAGAGGCACCAATCTAACGCCTTACGCTTTCAGTTCTGACATTCATTCCTTTCATTCATTCCATTAATTTCATCACGAAGAATGAAAGAGGAGCAGTGATGGGCTGAGACCTCGGGCTCGAAGAAGCGCTTTTGACCCCCATTCCTACATTCAGTAGAGCAAACACCTGGGGCGGGAGCGACACGTCACCTTCCAGAAATACTGCTGTTTTTTCCTTCAAGGTCTAGTCCTACTGTACACCTAACCAGAGTCTCTTCTGTTTCCAACCCTCCGTCCACCCGTAACCCCCCAGACTCCCAAATAGCCGCATTTCTATGAATTTATAAACTTAAAAACCGGAAGCGGCTTCCACACGGAGCCAATTTCTGAGGACACCTGATTCCCCGCCACCCCTTTGCTACGCGGTCAACCGCAGCAGTAAAACTGACCCGGATAAGGGACTGATATTCCTCCTTTAGTCGCTGCACCCACAATTCTCGATCTCGGGGTCCGGCGTTAGTCTTCAGCACCGGGATCTCGGACACGACCCGCCGGGTAGCCTCATCCGCCATCTTGGACCAGGGCACAAGAAAAATGCGGAAGTGGAGTTGCTTGTTACTTACTCAGTGCTTCGCCATCTTTACTATGGGAAGATGAGGCGTTGTGTTGCCTTAAAGCCGTCTCTGAATGCACTCTTATTTTCTTGTAAGAAAATAGACCCTCTGGTGTGAGCCTCCGGAAGAACAGAATGAAGACGGGTTACTCCGTCCAGAATATGGCACCTACCATTAAACCACACCGGAGACAGCTCAAAGAGTGACTTCCGCTCATGCTCAGAAGCAATCTTGGAAAAGCCCACGACCTTCCCAAACCAGGAAAGTAGTTAGAATTTCATGTTTTTCGAGACACTTTTCAAAGTATTGTCTCTTAGAATGTACAATTTACGTGTTTGTGCTGAGTTACTTCCTTAGTTTATACAATACCTGCCCTGAAAAACGAACAGCACCTAATCAGGAAGTACACGTGCTTGTTTGGGTGGGTTTTTTTTTTTGTATTTTTTATTGATTTTTTAAAAATATTTATTTATTTATTTATTATGTATACAATATTCTGTCTGCATGTATGCCTGCAGGCCAGAAGAGGGCATCAGATCTCATTACAGATGGTTGTGGGCCACCATGTGGTTGCCAGGAATTGAACTCAGGACCTTTGGAAGAGCAGGCAATGCTCTTAACCACTGAGCCATTTCTCCAGCCCTTTAATTGATTTTTTATTGAGCTTACATTTTTCTCTGCTCCCCTCCCCTTCAACCCTCCTCCAGGGTCCCCATGCTCCCAATTTACCCAGGAGATCTTGTCTTTTTCTTCTTTCTACTTCCCATGTAGATTAGATCTATGTAAGTCTCTCTTAGTATCCTCATTGTTGTCTAAGTTCTCTGGGATTGTGGTTTGTAGGCTGGCTTTCTTTGCTTTATGTTTAAAAACCACCTATGAGTGAGTACATGTGATAATTGTCTTTCTGTGTCTGGGTTACCTCACTCAAAATAATGTTTTCTAGCTCCATCCATTTGCCTGCAAAATTCAAGATGTCATTAATTTTTCTGCTGTGTGTAGTACTCCATTGTGTAAATGTACCACATTTTTCCTTATCCATTCTTCGGTCGAGGGACATTTAGGTTGTTTCCAGGTTCTGGCAATGACAAACAGCTGCTATGAACAAATCTGAGCATATGTCCTTGCTTGTTTGTTTTTAAAGGGGACAGAGTCTCACATAGGATGGCTGGAACTCTTCTTGCTTATGTAAAATAATGAATGTGTCTATGTTTTAAAACCAACTGAAAGCTAAAACATTTTGAAAAGAGTTACTGAATATCTTTTGTGTGCTATGCACTAAGTATATAGACATATTTGGTCCAGGATGAATTCTCCCAAATGGTTAGAGGACAGACACTGAGTGCCTATTCTTAGAATTGGTCCAGGATAAATTCTCCCGAATGGTTAGAGGACAGACACTGAGTGCCTATTCTTAGCTTAAGACAAGTCTTCTGGTAACGTTTTGTTGATTTTGAGACAGGTTCTCACTATGTAGACCAGGCGGGCCTCCGACGCAAAGAGCAGCCTGCCTGTCCCCCAAGTACCGTCGGGTAATTTCCAAACTCATTTGATGCTAAGAAATCTCACTGGGACACAGTGGCCCGCACTGGTTATCCTAGCATGGGCTGCGGTGGGGTGGGGCAAGACAGGAAGATTGCTGCAACTCAATCTAAAACAAACAAACGTCCCTATGTGGCAGCTGTGGTGGTGCACACTTCTGAGTTTGAGTCTACACAGGCAGCAGATCCCGTCTCAAAGAAAACAAGAACAAATGTGGAAATGGCTCAAGTGGGTATAGGTGCTTGTAGCCCAAGCCTGGCACCTGAGCCATCCCTGGAACCCACATATGGAAGGAAGGAGAAAACAAACTCCACAAGTTGTCCTCTGGCCTATGTACATGTGTTGTGGCGTGTGTGTCCCTTCAACTAAAATTTAAATTTTTGTTTGTGGTTTGTTTTTTTTTTTTTTCCTCAAGACAGGATTTTTCTGTGTAACAGACCCGGTCACCCCGGAGTTCATTCTGTACACCAGGCTGGCCTTGAACTCACAGAGATACGAAGTGGTAGAATTAAAGGCATGTACCATTACACCTGGCCTATTTGTTTGTATTTTATGTGTTTTGCTTGAATGCATGTAAGATACCATGTACATGCAACGCCCCTGGAAATGACATTACAGTAACAGACATTACTTCCATGTGGGTGCTAAGAAGTAAACCTGTCTTCTGTGAGAGTAGCAAGTATTTTTAACTGCTGAGCCATTTCTTCAGTCCACAAAACAAAACAAAACGAGAAGAAATAAAAACCACACAGGTGCATTTTTAATTATTGATTTATTTATTTGTTTAGGTTTTTTTTGTTGTTTTTTGTTTTTTTTGAGACAGAGTTTCTCTAACAGTCCTAGCTGTCTTGGAAGCAGCTCATGTAGACCAGGCTGGCCTCAAACTTACGGAGCTCCACCTGCCTCTGCCTCCCGAGTGCTGGGATTAAAGGTGTGTGCTATTACCACCCACCCGGCTGAGGGTTTTTATCTTACTAGCACACTATAAATTTCTTTGTAAAGATATTAGATACAGCTAAGACACAACTTTGTAATGATTTACTAGAGATCTCCTAAGGTAAATAAAGGTTTATTTCATTTTTGGTGTAGGCACAGTGATGTGGTCAGAGAACAGAGATGAGAAATGAGGTTTTACAATTATCCTTGGTTATTCTAATTCTGTGACATGCATCTCTAAAGAAATACAGACTTTTCCTAACATTCCTGGTTGGATCTCTACATGTAGTACCTTTTTTTTTAAACCACTTTTAGAAAATATATTTAAGTATTTTTTATGTGTTGAGTATTTTACCTGTATATATGTACACCACATGCATCCTGATGCCCACGGAGGCCAAAAGAATGACATCAGGTTCTCTGGAACTTGAGTTATAATTGTGAATTCTCACGTGGCTGCTGGGACCAAACTCCCATCCTCTACAAGAGCAGCAACTACTGACCCACTGCTGTGGAATAATGTTTTTGCCAAGACAAGGTTTCTCTGTGGCTTTGGAGCCTGTCCTGGAACTCGCTCTGTACCCAGGCTGGCCTCGAACTCTCAGAGATCTGCCTGCCTCTGCCTCCCAAGTGCTGGGATTAAAGGCATGCACCACTACCGTCTGGCTGTTTTTTTTTTAAATTAATCTTACGTTATTTCCATTGGTGTTTTGCCTGCATATATCTCTGTGTGAAGGTGTCATATCTTGGGAGTTATAGACAGTTGTTAGCTGCCATGTAGGTGCTGGGAATTGAACCTAAGTCCTCTGCAAGAGCAGCCAGTACTCTTAACTGGTGGGCCTTCTCTCCAGTCCCTGGAATAATCTTTTTTGTACACTGTGAAGATGTGTCTTTGTCAAGGCACCTTCTGATTGGTTTAATACAGAGCTAAATGGCCAATTGCCAGGCAGGAAGAGGTTAGGCAGTATTTCTGGGAAAGACACCAGAGGACTTGGAAAGCCCTCTCTTCAGACCTTCTACCTCTGTTTTTGATTCTGAGAATCTAAACTTTTTGAACATAGTATATTCCCAGCATCCAGTGGCTCACCATCTTCCACCTTCTATAATTTCAATTCCAGAGGATTCGACACCTCTTCTGGGCTTCATGAACACTCCTGAGGACCAGCCTAGACATAACTATTTCTCGTACCAGCGTAGAGGTGTGGGAATAATTGAAGCACAGTTTACACGACCGTATCGGGAAGGAGTCTCAGTGTTCATTCAAATCCTGAAGATCACCCGCATTTATTATCCAAACAGCTTTTAAATCAAAACGTAAACTGAGGGGGAAGTTCATTAGCATTGTGTTTTCTAGGTAGTAGGGAGAATGACTTTGGTCATGTCCACACCTATGCCTATTCTGTCATGTAGACTGAAAAACACCTCTTTCCCAGACGACCTCCAAAATTACAACAGAAGGAGCAGAACGACATTAGCATATCCTGACCACTTGCTTAGGATGGTGTCAGGCTGTCTCAATATCAAAAGGCTAGGAGACCACCTTCTGTGCGGTAGGTTCAAATTGTGCCTTGCCAGGTTGCTCAGAAATCTGACTGCCATACAGTGTAGGAATATGGGTCTGTATAATCCAGCCCCCACAGAACACGAGGCATGCATGTGGATGTACATATATACCATGCAGTCAAAACACTCACACAGAAAAAAAATAACTTAAAAACTTAATACTTTCTTTGAATATACTATGATATTGGGACATACCCACTGATATTTAAAAATCACTGGTTCAGGGCTGCTGAGATGGTTCAGAGGGCAAGAGCACAAGCCTGAGTTTGACCCTAAGAACCCACATCAAAGTGAGGGACTGTGTAGGCAGACTTTTCTTTCCAACCTACTAGTTCCCCAATAACCAACATGGAGTCTAACACTAATTATAAATGCTTAGCCAAGAACTCAGGCCTGTTACTAGCTAACTCTTTTTTTTAAAATATTTATTTATTTACTATGTATACAATATTCTGTCTGTGTGTATGCCTGCAGACCAGAAGAGGGCACCAGACCCCATTACAGATGGTTGTGAGCCACCATGTGATTGCTGGGAATTGAACTCAGGACCTTTGGAAGAGCAGGCAATGCTCTTACCCTCTGAGCCACCTCTCCAGCCCTAGCTAACTCTTTTTTTTTTTTTTTTTTTTGGTTTTTCGAGACAGGGTTTCTCTGTGGTTTTGGAGCCTGTCCTGGAACAAGCTCTTGTAGACCAGGCTGGTCTCGAACTCACAGAGATCCGCCTGCCTCTGCCTCCCGAGTGCTGGGATTAAAGGCGTGCGCCACCACCGCCCGGCTCTAGCTAACTCTTAAAAATTTAAATTAACCAGTATTTCTTATTTACCCTCTGCCAATGTTAGCACCTCCTTCCAACACAGCACATTCATCTCTCTTGCTTCTCTCTGCATCCCTCCTGATTCCTCCAACTTCTTCCCAGGATCCTCTCTGCCCCAAAAACCCTGCCTAGCAATCGGTCAATCAGCTTTTTATTAACAATCAGAGCAACACATTTTCACAGTGTACAGAAGGATTTTTCCACAGGAGGACCGACTCCACAAAGTTTCACATATGATGTTGTGTTATGCACATGCATCACACAAAAATGATAAAAAAAAATCACTGATCCATGTGAGATTAAACTTTCAATGAACATGTCCAAGTTTGAAGAAATATTTCCTAAAGCCACACTCAGAGAATTCAGGCAGCATTCTGTTC